ACCGGTCTGTATGTGGGATCCGAACCCTCGGCGGGAGCGCCGCCGCACTTCTCAAGCAGCGCACTAGCGCAGTGTGCCACCGGGCCGGCCCCTTTCCGTTAAATTTTTATTTTGTCAATATACAATGTATATGATTATTATGGTAGGCCAATTATTACATAATTACCTTCAGTCAGCCTCAATTTTGAGAGATTGATCAAAATCATGGGCACTGACACCATGTTCTGTCACCATCATGATGGACTTGTTTGATCTCAGAGTGGAATTCACAGTTTACAATGTTAAATTTGTTAGATGATTCTTTATGTCTTCTCCCTGTTTTTTAAACCATAATGGGACCATTTGAGATACAAAGGATGACTGCATACACATATGTAAGACTACAACACATCAGTGAGCCTGTTATGATGGCTATCAGGAGAGTAATATCAAGAAAGTGAAATGCATTCCTTAACTGGAGTCTCCACAAACTGAACTGATCAGAAGCAAACAAATCCAATTCAGACGATATGATTCAAAAATATTCGAGTCCAAGGCCACCCTGTTGGCAGACCCTTTGGGGAATAATAGTCATTAAGGACCATAGTTCACTGTAAAGTAGCCTGACTTAAAGAAGTATTCATTTTTGTGGTTAGTCTGGTAACACAAGTCATAGTGTTCTGGAGACCCACTAAAAGAAACAAAGATAAGAACACCTTGAAATAGCCAGTCTTGCCATCCACAGTTCAGGATGACCATAGACCAACTGCTAGCTGTTATGCAAACACATCATATGTTTCTTTCCCCTGAGAAATTTCCTTAAATATATTCCAGTGGCAGTATCTAGAGAAATAGCAATATCAGCCTCCTATTAAAAGAAGCTTCCTGGGCCTGGCCAGTTAGCTCATTTGGTTACAGTGCAGTGTTATAACACCAAGGTCAAGGGTTCAGATTCCTGTACCTGCCAGCTGCCAAAAAAAATAAATTAAGCTTTCTATTGTAGTAAAATCGGGAAATTTAAGTGCAGTGTTCAGTTTTGTTCAGCACCATATACAAGCCCCCAGTATGGGCAAACAGGATATCTAAAACTGCATGATATGTTTCGTTAAGTGTTTTTGTTGAACATGAATGTTCTCATCTGTCAGGATGGCCTCTAGGTATTTGAATTCCTGGGAGGTCTAACTGGCTACAGAAACCAAAACTTTCCCCAATTTATGCATTAACTTTTAATTCTATGCAGCCAGCCCCCTCTGCCACCAAGAGTGAGTCGCCAGGAACCCCACTGGAACCTTTTCTCAGTGGAAGCTAACAGTGTTGGTACTTGTATTTCTGTTGTTTATAACAGGATATCTGAAACTAGGTAACTTATAAAGAAACAAAATTTATTTTTTACAGATTGTAGGTGGGGAAGTCCACAGTCTAGGATGCTCATCCATTGAGGGCCTTCTTGGTGGTGGTCACCAAGGATGACACAGGGTATCACATGGTGAATGGGCTGAGCAAGAAAGCTAACCTCATTGCTCTCTTTTAAAGCCATCAGAACCACGCCCATATCCACCCATTAAACCATCAATGGATTGTGAGGGTACAGTTCTCACAATCTAGTCAACTCTTAAAGGTCACATGTTCATAACACTTTCAGTGGGGATTAAGTTTCCAATCACGAACTTTTAGGGGACACCTTTGACCCATAGCAGTACTAATTTCAGTTATTGACTGCTTTGACCTCCGATTATGAGAAATACAGGAACTTTCAGGGAAAGCTATTTGGAAGGCAGGAGTGAACCAGGCTGAGTAGCAATATCTGAACCAGTGAGGAGGTGGAACAGTAAGCAAATTCTCCAGACCCAATAGTGGCTCTTAGGGGCTGGAAAAGGAGGCCACTTGGTGGCATTTGAACAGGAGTCAGTTACATCTGCTCACCCATAAGTCTGCTAGCTCCTGAACAAAGGCCAATGGGAAGCTTATTCATGTGGTTGCCTTTATAGCATTCTGTAAAAGTGCATAACCAGGCTAGCCAGTTAGTTAAATTGGTTAGAACATGGTGTTGGTAACACCAAGGTCCAGGATTTGATCCCTGTACCAGCCAGCTGCCTCCCGACCCCCCCCAAAAAGATGAAAAGATGCACAATCACATTGAGTGGAAATGGAGTCTGCTGGATTTAACCTAGTGAGATTATATAAGCAATTGCTCACAGCCACCTAGGTAGTTCCCAGGAATGAGTACACGATGCCTGGAAGCACAATATACCTTGTGCAAGTAGCACCCAGACAGGTTTTCCACATTTGGCAGCAATTATGTTATTAGAAAGGTCAGGGTACCACCTCCAAGTGTAGGAAAGCAAGTAGTGATGTTCAGAATATCAAGGATAGCTTTCCACGCTTCCTTTGGGATTTCACGGTGACTCTCATTGGGAACACAGAAAACCACTGGCATTAATGGAATTGTTCCCTGAGTTTGGGGCATTAATTCACAAACCCAACAATCACTCTGGTTTCTTGCTAGAGCATTAGCCTTTGCTAAAGCCATCCAGAAGTTATGATCTCATGGATTTTTTTGAGGAAAG